CTAGTAAAACAGAATAAATGCAAGGCCACATTAAGATGGTAGAACTAAACGCAAAGGAGCTTGCCAGTAGCACAGTGAACACCAAATGGATTCCTGGAACAGATGAATGGTCGCAGCAGTTGGAATCGACTCAATGGCAACGGGCCTTTTTTTTTTAAATCGTTAGATGAAGGCTGTATGAGATTAGGAGACTCTCTTTGGACAACTCATAGTGACTGTGTTGTTAGCTGCCACTTGAACTGAGTCGGTTCCAAGTCATGATGACCCCACGTGTTACAGTGTAGAACAGTGTTTAGTTGGAATCCAGTCGACAGCAACAAGTTAGTTTTTTTTTTGGTTAATCTTAACTGACAGCCCTGGTGGCGCAGCCGTTAAGCCGTCAGTTGCTACCTGAAAGGTTGGCAGTTTGAACCCCTAGCTATTCCAAGGCAGAAAGATGTGGCAGTCTATTTCTGTAAAGATTACAGCCTTGGAAACCCCACGGGTTTCCCGTAGGGTCGCTATCCGTCATTGTGTGTAATTGTCATCAACATAGGGTAAGAGCTCTTCCCAACTCAGCCTGACAGATTCATGGTTTGTGATCTATTATCTATGGATCATTAAATCAGTTTAAAGTAAGGCTGCCCATGAAACACATTTTACAAAAACAATTACTAGAAATTATTCTAAAAAGAAAACAGCAGGACAAATATAGGGGAGAAGCCTATTAACATTGCCTGAGAGACATAAATAAGACTTGAATAAGGCACAAATAATTTGATCCTGATTGCCAATCTAGTCAATGAAAGTGTGTTCTGTACATACTCCAAGGTGCTGTTCTAGACCGAGACATTATAGCAGCTCTATTAGTTTCCTGGGGCTTCTGTAACAAAGTACCACAAACTGGGTGGCTTAAAACAACAAATGTATCCTCTCACAGTTCTGGAGGCTAGAAGTGTGAAATCAGGGTGTTGGCAGGGCCGTGCTGTCTCCAAGGCTCTAAAGGAAAGTCCTTCTTGTCTCCTTCCACATCTGGTAGTCCCAGGCATTCTTTGGTCTGTGGCGGCACACCTCCAGTCTCTGCCTCCATCTTCACGTGGTTCTCTTCCTCTTGGGTCTGTCTTGGCGTGTCATTCTCCTCCCCTCATAACGACACTAGTTACATAGGACTAGGCTAACCTTGCCTGGTACGACCTCATGTTAACTAATTACATCTGCAAAAAGCTATTTCCAAAGAAGGTCACACTCACAGACACGTAAATACTTGAGCATATCTTTTTGGGGGGACACAATTAAACTCGTAACAGCAGTGTAAAAAGTCTCTGGCTTCACAATTAAAAAAAGAAACAAACAAGTAATCTCGTTGTTGCTGAGTCGATTTTGTCTCATAGCGAGCCTACGGGACAGAGTAGAACTGCCCCATAGGGTTTCCAAGAAGCGGCCGTGGATTGGAACTGCAGACCTTTTGTTCAGCAGCCCTAATTTTCTGTAGCTGTTAACCGCTGCGCCATAGCTAATTATGAGAAGATAAAATGTATCAGTTAAAACAAAAATCGATTTTTTTTTTATTATGCTGGTTGTTGTAAAGGAAATATGCATGGTATTTAGATGAAATGTAACTAGAAAGGAGCCCTGGTGGCGTAGTGGTTAAGAGCTATGGCTGCTAACCAAAAGGCTGGTGGTTCAAATCCACCAGCTGCTCCTCGGAAACCCAATGGGGCAGTCCTGCTCTGTCCTATAGGTTGCTATGAGATGGAATTGACTCGAGGGCAATGGGTTTGGTGGGTTTTGGTAACTAGAAAAGATTTTCTATTTTTATAGGTGGTCAGCAAAAACTTCTCAAAACAAGATACTTGAACCGCATTCCTAAGGATGGAATTATGTCCATCCCAAAATATGTGTTAGAATCTTAATCCTTATATCTGTGGATGTAATCCCATTTGGGAATAGGATTTTCTTTGTTACGTTAATAAAGCCATGTTACTGTAGGATGTGTCTTAAATCTACTCAGTTCTGAGGTATAAAAAGAACAAATTAGGCCCAGAGAAGCAAGCTCAGAGGAAAAGATACGTGCTGTGTGGAAACAGCCAAGCAATCAAGGAGTGCTGCGTCTACAGAAGCTCAGACATCTCTCCCAGAGACAACAGAGAGAAAGTTACCCTAGAGCTGGTGCCCTGAATTCAGACTTCTGGCCTCCTAAACCCTGAGAAAATAAATCTATGTTCTTTAAACTACCTGTTAGTGGTATTTTTGTTAGAGCAAAACTAGCAATCTCAGACACACGCAAATCAGTGTGAACAGGGCGAATTATTCAACATTGATGTTGAAGAGAATCTCTGTCTCTATGAACAAAATAAAATACAAGCAGACCCTCTCGTTCACACAAGACAGAAAACTAAATTGCGGGTGCATTAAGAATATAATACAAAAATAAATATTTATCAGAAAACCAAGAAGAAAAAAATACTTATATGATGTGGAAATGAAAAAGGTTTACTAACACACATCAATAAGAAAAACATATATAGAAGAGATAGGTAAATTTAACTTTATTACAATTTTTAGAACTTCACTGTAATGAGAGAAAATGTCAAACATGTCAGCAAAGCGAAGATGAACCATAGCTTGAGAGGAAACTATTTAAATGGGTATAATCAACAAAAGATTGGTATGTAGCATGTTAGAATAATGAAGAAAGAGAGAGAGAGAAAAAAACCCGTAGTGTGAGGGTGGGGACAAAAGTTGTGAATGAGAAAATCATAAAAGTTGAAACTCAAAGTATAATTAATTAATATGTGAAAAGATGCTCACTTTTGCTGGAAATTAGGAAATATTTTTATTATATAGTGACATCATTTCAAATTTAACAGGTTGGTGTAGATTTTTAAAAGTCTGATAATGTATTGATGTCAGCAATAGAAGTAGATTAAAGGAAGGCATATGCACTGTTGGTGAAATAGTAATAAGAGTAAAATCAAACACAAGCCTTCTTTACAAATTATCCTTCTATACAAATTATTGCTATTTACCTTAAAGAGATTCTTGTTGAGATTCACCAGAAGGCATCTAACAAATGTTTGTTATAGAATTCTAGAATTCTTTAACAAGGGGAAAAATTTAAAAAATACATTAACCATAAATTCAAGTACTTGGGTAACTTGTGGTATATTCAGATAATGACATTTGGTGCAATTATTAACATTTTTGATCTTGATCTTCCTTCCTCAACATGAATAATTCCTGCAAAAATTATGTTAAGTGAAAAAGATATTGATATCATCTCAACAGATCAATAAAAATGTAGATTAATGTATTTTTATATCTCTACACATATGCATGCACTCGTGTGTGTGTGTGCGTGTGTGTGTGTGTGTGTGTGTCCTTCATGGCTTGATGAGACGGATACACACCAGCTTCTCTTCTCAGAGAAGAGCATGTCATCATGTTTCTCAGGACAAAAGTAACTTTAACTCTATATTTTTGATGATTATGAAAAAGGCCTCAAAAATGTGCAAATTATAATTACTTATTAAATATTTGGAGCATGAATTTTTTTAAATTACTGACAATTATTTTCTATATATTTAAAACTATGAACAAGAAACACCTCCAACAAAATTAGAATAGTTTGCTAATTACTTTTTATGTTCATACACTAATATATTGTTTATCCATTTAAATATGTAGACATAATTTTAATCACATCAAATAAGTTTATAGCATTATTTGAACTGTGTCTTCCCTAGGAGTGCAATTTTATAACAATTATTAAATTGAAAAATTAAAAAAAATTAACAAATACTAACCATTGTTGGCTACGAGTTGTGTAAAGATAGCTCAGAAGTGCTACAAAACTCTTAAGTTTTACCTTCTAACATCAGTATGTATTGCAAATACATCTTATAATATCAAGGAATTGTGTGAACTGTTATTCATAGTAGAGGATACAAATCTTAATATGTTTCCATTTCCTAAAAGTTTCCCATGCTCTTTGTTTAGACCACTGGATTGGATTTAGAAATAGTTGTTATCATCTTTTCAAAGAATCCAAAACCTGGTCAGAAAGCTATGCTGCCTGTAAAGAACTGAATTCCCGTCTTATGAAGATACATATCAAGGAAGAGCTGGTAGGGAAGATTCTTCTGCTATAAATATATACAATAACTGTATTTGGTTTGGAAGCATCAATGATTAACACCATGATATGGGAAACCTTGAAGATTCCCAACAGCGTGTGATATTTTCTTACTTTGACTTGACTTTCTTGGAAAGAAATTAGAGAAACATAATCATTTGACTAGTCAATGCCACTAACAAACCAAACTAACAAATGAGAAGATAACCTGAGAAAGAACCTATCTATACTCAGGGACATGGATAAGCCCTTGGGAGAACACCAGCCCTTGAGTCAGGAAGGAGTAGACTATAAGGTACACATACTTGTAGTGTATGATTTTCTTTCCCAGTAGAAACTCTTAACATTGTTTGGAATGGAAGGATGGATAGATCTCAAAATGAACAAAACTGATGGGCCCTTGGTATGGCAAGATGGCACACAAATGAACCAAAGCCTGTAAGTACAGTGTTTGGACAACCCTTTCATTATC